CAGATATTGTTAGTCCTTACCTTGGAAGACTCTAAATCAGATGTTGTTAGTCCTTACCTTTAAAGTCTTCCATCAGATATTGTTAGTCCTTACCTTTATAGTCTTCCATCAGATATTTTTAGTTCTTACCTTTAGATTCTTCCATCAGATATTGTTAGTCCTTACCTTTAGATTCTTCCACCAGATATTGTTAGTCCTTAACTTTAGATTCTTCCATCAGATATTTTTAGTTCTTACCTTTAGATTCTTCCATCAGATATTGTTAGTCCTTACCTTTAGATTCTTCCACCAGATATTGTTAGTCCTTAACTTTAGATTCTTCCATCAGATATTGCTAGTCTCAGCTTTTAGTCTTTCATCAGATATTGCTAGTCTCTGCTTTTAGTCTTCCATCAAATGCTTATCTTGAGAATCTATTTTCAGACATTGTTAGCTGTTATTTTCAGTGTATTCTTTCAGACATTGTTAGCCGTTATTTTCAGTGTATTCTTTCAGACATTGTTAGCCGTTATTTTCAGTGTATTCTTTCAGACATTGTTAGCCGTTATTTTCAGTGTATTCTTTCAGACATCGTTAGGTCTTATCTTTAGAATCTAAGTTAAGACGCTGTTAGTCCGTACTTAATTTCAGGTATTATATACTCACATCCAACGATAGAAATAACGTTTCTTATACAAAGGATTGTTCACGATGTATGGTAACAATTTGTATGAACAATCATCTTACGTTTGTCCTTCCCTGCGGATTGAGACCTAACTCTGTTGAGATGTGGTTGCTTGTAAGTGTAGATGGTACCTAAAACTGACCTCTTCTGGGAATATTAGATTATCGGTCTTTTCCTCAATTACTAAAAGCATGCAAGGAACGGATTTTTGTGTTTCAAATAAATGAATATGTATATCTTTAAGCTCTTTTGCTGAAGCAACTGAAGATTTGTATCAAACAAAGTAAAGTCAGGCTATTCCATCAGTTGTGTACCGGAAGTAGTTAAACAGCTTATCAGCAAAGATAATCCCAGACCACAACGGTACATTACAGGTAAAGTAGAAACTTCCCTTGGATAATTCAAAGAGAATTGGATCTACGAAAGCACCTATCTGAATGGAAGAATAACTTTAGAAAGTTGTACGAGGAGTAGCTAGTTCATATCAGAACTGGAGGGAAAGAAAAAGGTAATTTACCTAAATGTCTGCAAAAAGTCTGATTATATAACACTTGCAAAAATTTTCAAAGAGATTACGATGACTGCAGGTTATAGCTATAATGCAAAGTCTGACATCCAGAGAGTCAATAAAAATGCCAATGTTCAATCTTCATACTATTAGTCTAACGTGCTGATATAATTGTGCTGCACGAGGAATTACGATCTTTATAAGGATTGGATGCCAATAATGTATGTCTCAATCAAAACAAAGCGTCTAGACACATGCCCACAAGGTTCCAGCGTAAAGAATTAATGTTATACCATTCCAATACATCCCTCATGGACTTCAGTGTCATTCGGTTCTCAAACGGACGTATGAAATCATCGTTCACACACGATGATGGGTTTGGGAAAGCATATGAAGAGAAGTGAGACCAATATTAACCTGATTGTTTAGTGCACAAATCCTCTGTAGGAGAAATTGCTGCAAAGTAACAATGCATCATCACATAGAACATCATCGGTGATGGAAGAAGGTGCAGTAAGAAGACCTAGGCAGTCATCCTTATATCCTTACCACAGACCATGAACATAATTTTGATCTATAAATATTACGTTCACACATATCAATACTTTTATATTCCCAAAAATATTCTGACATTCAAACATACAAAAGATATATGATATATATAGATACATACACATAGATATTCGTGCACAATAGATAATATATACATAACAATATATATAAACAGTTACAAATTTATTTCTTTAACCAAACAAAGAAAAGTGGGAACATTTTTCAATTATTGAATCTCAGTATCAAGCTTTTTATCAGCACTTTTCAAAGTAACCCTCTGGTTATCTATAATGATAAGTAAGTTAATTATAAATGGTGAGTTGTGATACCCAGATCTTGCGAACTTTAGTTGGTGATAGGAAAAATAATAATAATTAAGTATATATGTGAAAATATATAAACGACAAATGGATTAACAGATAGATTTAGCTAGATATACAGATATGTTTGTGTTATTTAGTTCAACTGTCGTGTGATTTTCTGATAGGTTACTGATATGATGCTTCAGGACAATTTGTACGTTGATTGGGCGAAACCAGCCAGGACGTTTTGGAAGTCTCACGGCCGTGTTCGTATCGTCATTTTCTGGGCAGGATCAACAATTATGACGGCCGTGGTAGTAACGTTAATAGCCAGTGACTGGATTACTTGGGACAGGCTCAACAGAGACTTCGTGGCCACCACGGAACTGTCACGTGCTTTCTTAGCTTCCTTTATACTTGTCATGGATCTTCTGATTGTGATACAGGTAGTTTCTCCACGTAGGCCGAGTAAATTAAATACAGTGATGTTGTTCTCTGGAATATCCAGTTGAAGCAGAAGTAAATTTTGTTTTAAATCAGTTAGCCACAAATATAATAAATATGATATGATAAGGGCTAGATTTGAGGTTTATTTATTTTACTTAATAGCTTTAGCTTAATTTATGGGATTGGATAGCCTAGATGGACCAGTAAGTCCCTTGTTGTCCCTGAACATTACGTTATGTTAAATATGACATCATAAACTTTCTTTCCATTTCATATTATCCAAGTTTAAATAAAATTGAGCTTTTCGTCAAACTTTTTTTTACTTCTTTCTTTGAAATGCATAAAGGATGGGTGTCAATAAGGGCCTGAAATCACCCATTTGAAATTTATATAAAATATTTCACATAGTGACAGACGGGATGGGTCACGTAGGGAATGCTATAGATATATCCTCACCTAATGATAATTCCCAAGATGGCAATCATTAACGAGTGCGACCTGTATGTCAGTCACAGTATATTTTCTTTATAATTACTGCATAATCATACCGTGATAGAAAGAAGTACATCATCATACTTCGTTTTGGTGAGGCATATGAGAGAATAGGCAGGTAACATATTAGTATGTGTTGCTTATGCATTGCACGATATCCATTAAATAACACCAATTCTTAGCTTCATGCCCAGGATTTCTCTGAATCTACAGCTTTGGTACTCAATCCTTTCATCACTCTGGTCAACGAAAATAGCAGCTCTGATCAGCTTGATCATTGTCATTAGTATAATCTGTTTGTGTGGAGTTGGAAAGGACAGGAACAAGTCCTGATGATACTGGAAGCCTAAATACCATAAAACACATTCAAGAAGTATAATCTGTTTGTGTGGAGTTGGAAAGGACAGGAACAAGTCCTGATGATACTGGAAGCCTAAATACCATAAAACACATTCAAGAAGTATAATCTGTTTGTGTGGAGTTGGAAAGGACAGGAACAAGTCCTAATGATACTGGAAGCCTAAATACCATAAAACACATTCAAGAAGTATGATCTGTTTGTGTGGAGTTGGAAAGGACAGGAACAAGTCTTGATGATATTGGAAACCTAAATACAATAAAACACGTTCAAGAAGTATAATCTGTTTGTGTGGAGTTGGAAAGGACAGGAACAAGTCCTGATGATACTGGAAGCCTAAATACCATAAAACACATTCAAGAAGTATAATCTGTTTGTGTGGAGTTGGAAAGGACAGGAACAAGTCCTGAT